GCAGTTTCCCTGGAATAACTCGGCTACACGCGAGCAAGAGTCCTCTCGGCTTCTTGCACGGAACAGGGACAGCCGCGATTTGCCCGTTCGTCGCGTCCCCGCCGATAAATCAGTACACTTTGCGGTTCCCCATCGTGTTAGAACGGTTCATAAGCGGCATACCGGATCCCCGGGGTGCGGTTATCTTCGCATGTACCGGGTGTGCATTATCTCGGTCGGCGTATAAATATACCGGAGCGATCGCGGGACGCGTAACAGGCCGTGAAAACGAGCGCGGCCAGAGAGCTGGCCGAGGGGAGGAATGGCATCATCCCTCCGCAGCAGGGGAGGTGGGAGTGGTCGACGAGTGTTTATAAACGGGATTAGGGGAATCATCGATGGTGTCTCGCGTGGCGCAGGGGTGTGTCTGCCGGCGAGGGAAGGAGGAAGTGCACTTTCGTCGATGTACGACAGGCCTGGCCGTCGGATACTTTCAATCGGCCCGATTGATCGCGTAGTTATCTGGATTCACGCGTCCCGTCGGCCGCATTTATTATCCACGTCCCCACCCTTCTAGTAACATGCTCGTTCGCGTTACGCCATTTGCTAGACCGTTTGGCCCGCGCGAACTCCACGAGAACGTCGATAATTAATTGGACACGCGTTTCCTATCGCATCGAAGCGATTTTCGGCTTCGAAACAATACCCGTTTCTCCGACGTTTCTTTCGATCGGTGATCCAAACTACGTTTTTCAAGAGCGAACGCGATAAATGGTGAGACGTTTCTATTCTCGTTTCGAATACCGCGGACGAACTCTCGTAACTCCACGACTCCTTGGGAAACGCGTACCGCGAAGGGATGAAGCGACGAGCGAAGGAAGATATCGTATACTGCACGATTTTTAGACGCTTATCTAAAAAAAAACTAGCCGTTGACTTAGGCGAGATTGGAAGAACAAAGTTGCGCGATATCTGGTCCGGACGCGCATGGCTACGCGCAGGTTCGCTTCTGCTCTAGAAAATATCGCGAGGCTGTGGAAAAAGTGGCGACAGCGGGAAAGGGCGAGAGGGGAAAGCGGAGAGTTCGCACGCGAGGTTGCATGTGGATCGAGCCCGGTGGGCGGACCCAGCGGCGGGCCACGCCCCTCGCTTCCCCTCTGTGGGCGGCGTGGAGGGGAGCGTGTTATCAGGATTGGCCGACAACCGGTTCGCGAGGTCGTACCAGCATTAATTATTCTAAATAAGTCGTCGCCCCTGCGGCGGCTGATTATAGAGTTTGCAGTGCCATAAATAGAACCCGTTTACAAATCGCGTTCGAGGAATAATGATCGTCGCTGCAAGATCCCGCGTCCCGTTCTTCCTTTTGCAAGCCGAACGAAAAACCCAATCAATCCCTGACGTACGACGAGACGTCGCGATTGGTCTCGCCCTAGGCGTTTTCTCTCTTCAACCACGGCCAGTCCTTTCGAGTGACGCGTGTGGTTACGTGTCCTAACGAACGAATTAACCGCGCTGGGCCCTTCCAACCGGCAGTTCTTCTTCCGATACGTTTGAACGCCAATCAGCCCCCCGAGACGGATGACAGTGTCAAACTTAGACGGACTCCCTCTTGGCTCCCTCTTTCTTCGAATTTCTCCGCGAAATCACGTGCTGCCGAATGAATCGACTGCTTTCCTTTTTGCCTCGCGGAGAACGGTGAGAACTTTGAACAGCTCGGAAATAAGTAGCAGAGTCGAGGGAAAGGAGTTTGATGGACTTTTACGGCGGCGATGTAACTGACCAATAAAATACAACGATGTTTTAACAGGCTCCGATAATCTATCCAACGATCTCCGATACTTTCTCGCTCTCGCCTGTATCCCTACCAGAGGGAGCCACTGTGTAAGCTCAAATCGCGACTTTTTCCAAAGGAAATTCCGTATCCGTGTACTCGAAATCTCAGAGCGATCGTCGCGAATCGATTCGTCGCGATCGATCACAGCTGGACAAATAACAGTGCAGCGCGGAACGTGCTTAGAGGCTAAGGGAAGACCGCGTTGAAAACTAGTTCAGAGGATCTATCCCCACCAGTGGAAGGTGTTCTAACTGGAAAGTGGCGTAGAGCGCTGCGCCGCTCTCAGACGAGGCCGCTATTGATGGATAGACACGTTATGGTTATTTATAGTGGCTATCTCTATTATTGTTCTTACACGAATGTAACCAGGGACTAACGATCCCTTTGCGGGGTCACGTGGCAGTTGGTATCCCTAGGTGTGGTCATTAATAAAACTGCACGATCTAGCACCGAGCTTGCGCGTTCCTTCGCAAACTTCGGCCTGACGGAACAAAGGAATTACCTTCTACTCGCTTTGCGGCTAATCCAGCCGTGGTTAGAAGTATAATTTCGAAAGCCACGGATACGAACGTGTTATGCTCGTAAACACGTTCACGCGAAACAGGTGTTGCGTAAGCTAGACAATTTTATGGAGACGTAAAGAGTCGACTTTCCGCGATTACGGTATTCCCGCGTTCCGAAGGTAATCGAGACTGCGCGATTATGATCGTTATCTTCGGCGAGATTACCTATTTCGTTACCCTTTATCTTGCAAACTATTCGATTCTCCTAATCGCCTTCCATCCCATCGAATTAACCTCCCTATTTTACGGAAATATCCCGTAGCTTGGTTACGTTGGTACACCAGATACCAGAGTAGCTGGTTCCGCGAGCACGGCTCGCGAGTTATTTTTCGACAATTACCATGAATTTTCGAATTTTCCTTAATCGCCGTTCGATATGTATCGCATTCACACCGCGACTCGTGCATCTGGAGTTATGTTTTGTTACGGAGTTTAATTGGCAGGATTTTAATGACGGCTCCTTAGAAGTCTCGCGTGCTCCTAATGCATAGGTTCGCTCCTTTCATGTCGTGAGCAAATAACGTTTCCACCGAAGAGAATCTCATGCGATTAGACGTTAAAAGGGTTAATGACTGTAATTTTCTCTTTACCGGTTAATGGCCGAGTGTGTCGTCGCTATTTATAACGAAGTTAATTACGCCACCAAAGTGTCCACGCGACATATCGGGATCATAACGATTTGGATCTAGCGGAGATAAAGGTTCGCCTGCTGGCATTAGAAATAATAACGGTAGACCCCATGCTGCACGCTTCTGCGATTTTAATCCGAGAGTGCGAGCACGCGGATTCTTTAAACTTCGTTTAAAATGGAAGGAGGCGAGAGAAACAGGGGGACGATTGTGCTCGAATTCGTTAGGGGGAAAGGAAAAAAAAAAACGTTGCCAGAAGTGAGTTGCGTAATGTATGCAGATTGGACGAGGAACCGTATACTTGTCTGCCTTTGAACAAACAATCAATCGACGCGCGTAAACGGAAAGGGAAGAGGAAGAAGAGAAGAATGGGTGCAAGAGGTAGTCCGTGGACCAGAGCATCTGCCGCAGCACGGATAATACATTTGTTGGTTAACCGTCGCAGAGCTCCACCCAAAAAGATGAGGAGCGATGGTGGGAGGTGGTCGGGTAGAACGCTGGATGCTCGTGTAAATTTTTGTATAAAGCGATTTCGACGTGGAACGATAAAATTCGCGTCAGCGAGAGAACGCTTGTCGACTCGAAGAAACGAATTAGCTGGCTTCGGATGGAAATCGGGGTGGGGAGGAACAAAAGTATGGAGTAGTGGGTATGGAAAAGTGGGAGGGGAGGCTGGGAGGGCGTGGCCTGGTAGGGAGGGGCGAGATTGTGGGCGAGATCTCGGCGCGAGTCGACGGTGGGGGAAGGAAACGGGGCGGGGAGAGGCTGGCGCTCTTACCGACGTTCGCAGTGGCGCGGATACCTTTGTTTTTTCCAGCAATATCGTCGAGTTACTCGAAAGCATCGCGAATATTCTCTACCTCGCGCGAATTTTAAGTAGCGCCTGCTTGTCTCTCGTCTAGCGATTAGAGTTCGTTTCCGATCCTATGGAATCGAATTCTCGAGGGGTACACGAAAACGTTGCACCGTATCTCGAGCAGCGATACATTTACTCCGCATAATTCTCGCCAAAAAGAGTCGAGTTTTTCCGCGACGTAGAAGGAAAATCGTGTCTGGAAAGAACTCGACGACTTGTTTTTCCCAAAACAGCGATACGCAGAAGAGGAAAAAAAGGTTATAAGTAAGACAAAAATCTGGTCGCCGTTGGAACGAGACTGGAACGATGCAGTAGCATCGATCGTAGTAAACTCCTAGCCCCAGCCCCCTACTCTCCGTACCACTGGTAGTGGTGGGGACGAGCAAGCGGAGGGGAGTAGGGTAGACCTTACGCCGGTAGGCGGAGCCTGTGACCGAAGAGTTAATAGAGATACAATCGAGGGTGTCTAGTGCACTGCACTCCAGACTGGGGCGTAGGAGGAGTGAAGGGGCGCGGGGGTCGGAGGGGAAAGCGGTAAGTAGGGACCACAGGTCCCCTAGTTTAGACATCACTGAGCGACGGATGGACAGCCAGTCAGACCCGTCACAGCACTCGCTCGAGTCCTCGGAAACCTCGAGAAAAGCCAATACCGAGGAGACTTCTCGCTCTTGGAGTTGATCCAGAGTCGAACCCCGTTAATCTCGCTTCGAGCGATAGGAACGTTAGACGAGACAACGTTTTCCAGCTAGACCAACTTGCCACGTGAGAGACACCACGCAGCATCCTTTCCAAGAACATTACTACGCGACACGCGGGAAACGGGAAGACTTTCCAGTGGCGCGGGAAATAGAAGCAACAATCTGTGTCCATGGAAGATCAGTGAAGAAAGTATACAGTGACACGTGCGGTGATCTCGAGGCAAACTTTCACGATCGAAATAACGAATTGTGAGTCATCATCGGTGAACACGATCGAGGTCTGACAGACTGGAAAGGTGACAAAAGTGTGACTCCGTGTTGTTTCGCAAATATGACGACAGAGGGTTATTAGCGTCACGGTCGGGAGTCGATCAGCCAACTGTCACGGCGAAGGTTCAGCTTACGTGACGAGTATACGGGACGATTCGCAAGACTCTGAAGATGAGCGTAGCTCTCGTGACGATGGATTCCGCGTACGGAATTCGGTTGGGGATAGGTAGCCATCACCATCATCATCACCATCACCATCACCGGGTACGCTCGCCCGAGAGTCACGTGGTTCCTCGTCAAGATCAACAACAGGATCACAAGGACGACATCGAGGCGCCTTTGAGATTCAGCGTGGTAAACATTCTCAGACCGGATTTCGGTCGAGAGGCTATCCTTAGCACGAAAACACCGAAACAGACCGCTCTGGTGCCTGGACACTCGACCACGATTCCAGTTCCGATTCCTCGACACAGTCCTCTATCTCTGCCACGCGATTTGAGCCTATCGTCCAACAGACTGTCCCCCACGAGGCCGCAGCCCGGTAATTTCTCCATACACAGAGAGAGGGATCTGTTCTCTTCCCATTGCGGGCTAACGTCACCCCTTCAGAGGAACACCGGGCTCAGCAGAAGCGGAAGTCTCGAGAGTTTGGCGAGTAGCAGGAGTTCCGTCACCGGAAGCTCGGTCACCGGTGCGCCTTCTTTGGGGTCCACGTCATCCACCATTGGCAGTGATTCCTTGAGCGGAGACAGCAGTTCCGCAAGTGCAACCAATACCAACACGAGCCAAACCGGACTCAACGGACAGAGTCCTTGGCCGGCGTGGGTTTACTGCACCAGATATTCCGACAGACCCTCTTCCGGTAGGTTTCTCGTTAGTTTTAAATCCAAACTGTCACCAGTATACGAAAAATCCTAAAAATACGCGAGAAATTCAATCACGTTCGACCGTTTTCGTCGATATCGACGTCTAACGACATTCCACCAGGACGCGCGTTCGATGAGGAGAAAAATGAATAACCCTAATTTAAGCGAGCCGTGAAACTGATCGATGGCTGGATAGGCTAGTAAGGGTTAATTCACGATCGTTGCACGGCGTCTGTATATCTGGCGAGGACAGATATATCTCAGTTAATCGCGGTATCACGGAAGTCGAGGAACGCAACCGGCCGGCCATAGCTCGCCACTCTCGTACCACTATTTCTCTGTATCCGCTTAATCAATTTACTTCGGCGACCGTTACATCGGGAAACCAGTTTCTATGTAAATCGACACGCGTTTCCCGGGACGCTATCGAAAAATCGCGCAGGCCACATAAAGCTTACCTAATTACTAGGCTCCTTCGCGTAACGCGATCGCATTCCAGAAAGAAATACCAGTTTAGTCTCCTCGCTGGAGTAACCGATATACACCGAACCACCACCGGGCTGCATACTTCATGTGTAATCGCGAGTTTCAGCACAGGGTGCACATACCACTTGGACTGCACCACCTGTGCCCGTTCGCAGAACTTAATTCCGCTGAACTTATAACCGCGATCTACCTTCTGCGATCGTCGTGTCCCAGATACGCGACCCGTATCTAGTCACGAGGGTGGTCCGCGACTCTACCACCCGATAATCGCGTTACTAATTACCGCGAATCGTGATCGATGCTTCGTTCCTCGCCACCGAGGCTCTCCTGCGGCTAATTAAACAGTGTTCCAAGCTGAAAGGTGATCGATGGTCGATGGTAGATTCTAATCGCGGAATTTCAGCTACCTCGCGTGGTGGATCTGCCTTTTCGACTGGAGGGATCCTCGATCGTAGTCGATCCGTCGAAAACCAAAGAAACAGAACTAAATCCTGAGGGCAGAATTTTCTGAATAATTCGTTAGAGTCCAAACGAGCTCCCCGAAAACATTTATTTCCGTTTTCCCGAGCCTGTCCCAGGCGTCTGGACGATTTGTCCGATTAGAAATTCCAACAGATCCACCGATAACGTCAGATCGAACGATACGTTGGTTTATGAATATTCAACACCCGTTAACTCTGATTCCAACAATTTTTACGAACGTCGCGAGCACGCGATGCCCGGTGGCCGACGGTGTAGATATTCTAAAGAGATTCATTTCGATTCGGTTAATTACCATTCACCCATTATTCGGCCAATGAAAGATTAGTCGGAATTGGCTAGAAAATCGCTAGTTGGCTGGATGCTCGAGCTTTTCGCTACGGATGTAGCGCGTGTTGAAACAGGATTTACGGGTGGTAACCGCGTGGCGCGAATTCGAGCGTATTAGCGTTAGGAGTTCCATTGTATGATTTATTCCTTGTCCGATGGAAATTGAAAGCAGCCGTTTCGTTGGATCGCGGAGGATAGGAGCGCGAGAATAAGAGCGTCCGAGAACAGCGTTCAGCGCGGAGCAACTGGCGAGGCTGAAGAGGGAATTCACGGAAAATCGATACCTGACCGAGAGAAGACGACAGCAGCTCTCGAGAGACCTGGGTCTGAACGAGGCGCAGATCAAGATCTGGTTCCAGAACAAAAGGGCGAAAATCAAGAAAGCCAGCGGCCAGAAAAATCCGCTGGCTCTTCAGCTGATGGCCCAAGGACTTTACAATCACTCGACGGTGCCGGTTGACGAAGACGGCGAGGAAATCGTGACTGGAAGCAATCATTCGCACTAATGACGAGCAACGAAGAAAGTGATTGCGCCGCTGCTGGGAAATTTTATTTCTTCCATCGCCGGCCAGTTTATTCGACGTCGGAGCTCGAAACCGACGGAAGTAATTAGAAAAGATGGAAACGACGCTTCGAAACGAGCCATCTCGGTGTCCCGACGTGGTCGAAACGGAATTTCACGCGGAAGCTTAGCCGAGATGGAGGTAGAGAACGGTGCACGCGCGTTTTAAGGATAACTTTAAACGGTCAACGACGATATTTATCGTTGGCGAACGCGATACGATCTTCATCTACTTCTAACTACATTAAGCGATTACCAAATAATTTTCTACTTAGTTTAGACTAGTGGCTGCAGCAATGAATCTCGAAACGGTGAAATCTCGAATGAAATGCTCGACCTGTAGAGCAGACAGAGAGAGAGAGAAAGAGATAGAGGAGAGGAGAGCGGAGAGTTCGACGTTCGTTTTTCGTATGATCGTATTGCCGCAGACTGAACCTTTATATTTATCGACTATACGTATATCGGCATAGATACGATTCTAGTACACACGAGCTCGGTACGATCCTTATCGATTAGACGCTTAAATTATTTATTTCCCTTGTACATAATTGTAAATACGACTGGTCGTAATGTGTATATGTATGATACGAGATAATCTTTAATTGCCGCGCGAAGATTATATTATTGTGTACGTACGGAGCCGCATGAATACGAAAGGATCTCACACTGTATATTCCTAATTATCCTACGAGTCTCTCTATATATATCTATATATATAGATTTCTCTCTCTATATATATACATACATATATATTATGCCCGTGTAGACAGACTTGGAAAGTATGCGTATATCCCAGTGTCTCACAATATGTGGTCGATATAATCTATGTAACCCGCTTACATGTTGCCACCGATTAAATCGAATTAAAAATATACACTCGTTCTTTCCACATTATTCTCCTGTCCCTGGATATCTCGCGCGATTTCTTTCCAGCACACGTACGTGCGTGCGTGTCATACACACGCGCGAGTCTCCAGCCAAAGTAAATCGAAACGATCGACCGAACCCGCGACGATCACTTCGATCGTAATATTCTTTTAAATAAAAATTTCTCCTCGAATATCGGGCATAATTGTTCTCCTTCTCTTCGTCCCGCGATTAATATTCACCTCGATCCACGGAATCCTCTTCGTCGTTTTACGCGATCGGATGAGTTCGAGAAGAGAGAAAAGAAGATAGATAGATAGATAGATAGAGAGAGAGTGAGAGAGAGAAGGGGGCAGGGTGAAAGAGAAGAGGAGAAGAGAAAAGGGGGGAAGAACGACCGTTTATGGACGAACGATCTCGAAACGAAAGCGGGATCAGCGTAATTAGTAAAATTTACGTGGCCGAAAAGTATGCGGATCCATGGAAGAGCAGCCGCCTGTATACACGGACGCCACGGACACGCCTCGTTTTCGGTGACACGGCGTGACGCGATAATTGATCCTAAATTAACGAGCCACCCGGTATCCCGAGCGCGACCGACAAATGGAACGTGGCGAGGATGACAGTGCGCGACTAGTTCAAACGCATTCGCGCACATGTCTCTGCCGATCGACACTGGATAAGCGATATGTGCACCTGTTTCGAGCTGCCATACGTGGCTCTGCGCCAACAGATTTACGAAAGTGCATTTTTTCCCAAACCTCTTTAAACGCCAGTGAGAAGGCAAAAAGGTCCAGGCTGTTTCTGCGAATAACATATTTTTGATTCCTTTTTCCTCCTCCACTAGAATCCAAGAATTCGCGTCGAAAACGATTATTGCCAATTTCGTCGATTTTTCGAGGAGCAAAGAAAATATCCCGAATGTTGGAGAGTTTTGAAAATCGACGTTGATTAATATATCAAATTTAAAATTACCTAACGATGCGTGGAATGTGGAAGGAAAATAATTCTACGCGTTAATTTGCATATGATTTCTCATTTACCATTTTAAAAATATCGTCGACTCCATGACAGAGAGTCTAAGAATGACTATTTTTCTGTAACGAGAAAGTCGTCGAGTGCAAAGGGTTAATCTCCCGCTCCAGGTTGATGGACTCTTCCAGCGACATCTGGTATTTTTGGTTATTGGGATTAGGGGACTAAAAAGAAATAACTATCGTTCTTTATAATCGTCTTTGTTCTATTCTTAGGAAGGTACATCTTCTGTATTCTAACTGTACGTAGAGAGAGAGAGATAAAACTGGAGTGATGAAAAAGGGTATGCAATTGCAGCTCGATCTGGTCCCCTAATTCTTATTTACAGCGTGAAGTACCGGGAAGATTAACCCTTTGCACTCGACGATTTTTTCGATACAGAAAAATAGTAATTCGAAGGTTTTCTGTCATAAAATCGATGATATTTTTAAAATAGGAAATAAGAAATTTTATGTAAATTAAGACGTAGAATTATTTTACTTCGACATTGCACGCATCGTTAGGTAATTTTTAATTTGATATATTAATTAACATCGATTTCTAGAATCTGATCAAATGGCAACTGACTGAACACTTCGACGTATAGTTCAAAGACATATCTATTTCTTCTAAGAGATTCATTTTTCTAAATACTTATTTTCAACATCGGCAATTCTAATAAAACTAAACGGTGGAAATCACTATCTTCTGAGCAACCGTAAAGAAAGCACGTATAATTACTCTGAAAGATTATCCCGGTAAAACCTAACCTATCCACGGTATTTTACAATACTGAACAATTTTAAACCTTTGCAGTCTAAACATTTTTTAACATCATTTACCAGCTACTCCTGGGCTATACTAGCTATTTTCCTCCATTTTTAGATTAAATATAAAATATTATGATAATTTTAACATGCAATTATACACGCAATGCATCACGGGAAAGTGAAGAATATTTTAATTTTGAAACGTATAAGAGCACGGAATTAAATGTATTTAAGGCTCGTTAAAATTTATACGTCGGAAGATCGATGTCGAATGGAAGGGACAAGTTGAACGTTATTAATTGTCGTTAATTTGAACGCAACGGTGAGGTGCAGCATCCGCAACGACACGCTACCGATGCATACACGCGAACGGTAGCCGAAACCGGGGATAAATTACTGAGTCGTTGTCGTTGGCCATTGTATTTGAACGTGACGATCCCTAATTGGTAATTCTATCGCGAACCCGTTGCATTGTCCAACGTAATTGCGTGCCACGCTATTTTCGCGTGCAGAAGGTAAATTCGATTTTGCCGTCTGCTCTTTGCGAAGCTCCAGGAATACCATGTTTCGCATAATCCACTTTCGTCGTGATTTTCGCGTGGGGACCAAGTCCCCTTTCGAAACGTTCATCCGAACCACTGTTCCGTCCATCGTATTCTTGTCTGACCTTTCTTAATTCAGTTCTGGACACATTGATAGTTGATAAATATTCCGCGAGCTATTTTCATGCTAAAATAACGCTATTTAAAAATATACGAAAAGGTACTCGGCGAGGAATCGATCAATCGTGGTTTAGGGGCCCACTCTTCGAGGAACAGGAATTGCGACCCTGGAAAAATGCAGGGAGACAAGGTCTAATTTTAATATTCCCGATAGAAGCAGCCAGACGCGAAGGCCGCGTATTTCACCCCTGACGAACGGCGTCCATTCGAGCCGCCATTATTAATTATCATTAATTTAAGCTTGGAGGACAGAGACCGGGGGTCGGCGGTTGTTCGCGGGGTGAAACGACGCGAGAAACCGGGAGAGGTGGTCACGAGTGTAGCAGAGAGGAGAAAGAGGGAACGAAGCGTTGGCGGTGTTCTCTTGCAACGTTGGAAACAAACGCACGGACGGTGGGCCAAACCGGGGATAAATTACAGAGTCGTTGTCCTGGCCATTGTATTTAACTGCGACGATGCGTAATTGCTGGGACGCCGTTGCATATACGGCAGAGAGAGGAGCAAGAGTGCCAGCAGGGTGGAGAAAACGAGTTAGAACCCCGCGGCAAGCGGATAGGGCCAGAGGGTCGAGAGGGTGGCCGCGGAGGAGGCGAAGGGATGGCGGAAGGGAGTTGCCACTGTGGTCGAGAACCATAGTCATCGGAATGGCCATTAGGGGTCTCTACGTTTCCGCCAGTGGCTCACTAAATTTCATCTTCTTGCGAGGTTCGCGACCACCTTGCAAACATTTACGATTAATGGCTCCTCAGCCGGATGTTTATTACAATATCAGCCAGCAACGGAAGCCAGCCAGGACCACGGCTACTTCCGGATCTAGTACACGGAGCCAGCCAGAGGAGGAACCAGGGAACGACGTTAACTAGGAACTGGTAGAGCTGGTAGCTTCGGAGAGCCATGGTCGCTGGTGTTTGCGACAAAGTGGCGTTAATTGATCGGGGTTAACAGATCGATGGATCGAGCAGAGTCGATATCGTTGACGACTTACTCGCGAGATCGAAGCATCGAGTACACGCATCGCGGGTCAAGGCTCTTGGCTCGAAAGGAAATATTCGAAAGGATCGGAACGCCGGCGACGCGCTGAGACGAAATTCCTCGCGGGAATCGAGGCGTTTCGAGATCACCTGGATCCAAAGCGTTGGATCAAAAGCGTACTCCGGTTAGCCCCGAGACGCTGGTCCCGCGTTTCCTCTCGCTCCAGCTGCTAACGAGTGTAACGAGCCACGGGCCGTCAAATTAAAGGCGGGCCGCGAGAGAGGCGAAGCGAAATTTATCGCGCCGCTTTCGGGAACCGCGGTAAAGGCCACTTAGCTGCCCGTAAATGCGTCGTCTCTATGACGACACGGCGGCAGATGTCTCGCCAATAGATCACCCCGTACGAGCAGAGAAAGAGGCTTTGTGAACGCGTGTCTCTCATCGCGAGCACCGCCAATGGACGTGAAAGAGCCGCGTATGAGTTATGTCGTAACGAGTCGCGACGTTTTTCTCTTAGCTCGAGCTGCTCGGGAACGTTAAGGAACTCGCGGAGGAAAAGCCAAGATTCATTGCGCTTACGAATAATTACGAATTTCCAT